ACTCTTTGGGATCCCCAAGGCCCCTAAATAGGGGATGCTTCCTCAAGAAAGGGTTTCCATTTACTGTTGTGAGGTACCAGCGGGGCACTGACCCACCTGGGACCCTCCGGCTCCTCTTGGCAGTTTCGAGCTCTCCTGCCTTCCATGGGACCATAGTCTATCCTCCCATCGCTGTAACGATGATGCATGCATCTTCAGCTGCCTGCCCTGTTTTTCTCACCATATTCTTATCACTTCTTTGTGAAAGATTACCCTGGCTTTCTCTATGGCTTATCATTTTGGTACAAAGGTGTTTGGTGCCATTTCTCTGGGGTCTAGAGTGAAGCGTCCCCACTTACTAGCCCAAGCCCAAGCAGAGGGAGAACACATGACCTTAAAAGAGAAGAACAGATGTGAGCTGGTGGGGCTGCAGCTCACTGCTCCTTGACAGAGCAGGTTTTTACATACCGCCTCATGTGGCCCAGGAGCCGTAGGTCATGACTGCAGGGCCACACTTTGGACTGGCACCTGAGGCTTCCAGCTTTAAATCCTGTGTCTTTTCCATCTGGAAAACATGTTGTGAAAGAATTACCACGCTATCTTCAAGTAATGAAGATAGAGAGATGTCTTGAATCCTCCTCTGAGAGCATGAGGAATATTTGAAAACGGTCACCATGTTCCGGCACTCAGTGAGTTCAGTGCATCGAGTGGATCCTGGTGAAGTGGCTCCCACATGGCTCTGCATGCATCTCCCACCCCCCTCACCAGGTTACATAAGTACAACCAGTGCAAAAGTGTTTGATAGGGCCGGCCCCGTGGCTTAGCGGTTAAGTGCGCGCGCTCCGCTGCTGGCGGCCCGGGTTCGGAACCCTGGGTGCGCACCGATGCACCGCTTCTCCGGCCATGCTGAGGCTGCATCCCACATACGGCAACTAGAAGGATGTGCAGCTATGACATACAACTATCTACTGGGGCTTTGGGGGGGGGAAATAAATTAATAAATAAAATTATTTTTAAAAAAGTGTTTGATAGAGTTACACATGGTATAGGTGTAAGTTCAGGTTGGAATTTGAGGGAGAAAAAAGTTGTATAGAAAATAGGGACATAAGTAGATTGCAATTTGGAGGTCATATTGTGATCTTTGATCTGTAGTTTATTTCAGAGGCAGTGTTTAGTTTTTTTGGCCTGAGAACAGCAAGACCAAAACAAAGGTGGTACTTTGCCTCTTACCATCTCTGGCAGGAATATTGAACCTTAGTAAGAAGAAACAGAATAGTCACTCATCTTAACTTTTCTTGTTTGCTGGGACATAACTGGAACTCATTTTTGTTTGAATACTTTGTGTTGGCAGTCTCTCGCACGTGTGTGTTCAGTGATTCGGTGTTTTGCTTTCTTGGCTCGTCATCTTTAACACCCGTGTTCATGGTGTCTGGGAGGGATGTGGTGGTATATGAGACAGGCTGGGTCTTCCAGCTCCTGCATAAACTCAAAAAGAGTGCTTAGTAAGGGCATCTATTAGTGCATGTGTCAGAACATTAGCAAAAGTTCTGCTTTCTTGTGAATCACTTTTGTCTCCAAGTGGAGAACAGTTCAAAACTTTTGTTAATTGAAGCTGTGTGGATTTATGTAAGAGTGAAATCAGTGTTTTAATTCAATAGCATTATCCACACGTTGAGAGATTTATTTTATGCTTAAATCCGTGATGTGCTTATGGACGTGTGGCCGCCAAATTTTCTAGTTGATAGATGCCTATTTTTTTCCTGAAGGAAACCCGTAGCTGTGGAGGTTAGTAGGTGTTTTATATGAATGCATTCATACAAATACAGTTTGTTATGGACCCCCTACTCTGGTCTCTACAACTGGACCTCCTCTTTTGAGTAGATGGGCTTCTGAAGAAGTGTGTGAATCAGATGTATAGAATCATTAACTTATGTTTCCAGTATTGCAGTTTCATAGTTGCATTCCCTTATTCCTGTAAGCTAACTCTGTTCAACATTTATTGAACATCCAGTATGTGCCAGGCCCTGTGCTATATGCTAGGAAAATAAAAACCAGTTAATCATGGTCCCTGTTTTCAGGGATCTCTTAGTCTGAAGAGAAGACGAAAACATAATCAAATTAAAAAATCAAAACACTATGACATACTTTAATAGAAATTGTAGATACAACGTGGAAAAATAACACTGAAGAGGGGCAACTAACTTTTTGAGCCTGTGGGGTGGTTTTGCAGAGGAGTTGATGCTGGGATAGGATTTTGAAGGATAAGCAAAAGCTCTCTGGACACGTGTAGTAGTGGGTACAAGCTCTCAGCCACTTTTGTTGAGGTGAAACCAGGCAACTCACGGCCGTGTCTTAGCAGGGTCTCAGGATGTACTTGAGTAGCTTTGGAGCCCTGAACGTGCTTCTGCTGTTCAGAGTTTACCAGCTGGGCTGGCGAGGCAGAGCTGCTTCTCAAAGCTGGCGTCAGGCAGTGCGAGAAAACTGGCTGGTTCCTCTGTCAGGAGCTTCTGCCCTTAGCAGAAGGTCTTCAAGACTAAGAAAGCTTATTCCATTTAATTGTTACTTTTCATCAATTCCTTCTCAGCAAAGCAGTTCTTAATTTATCACTACTTTGCGGAAACTGGTGACCATTGAAATATGGTTTTCTTGTTTTCCTCACTCTTTGCTCCCTGGGGCCCACTGCCAGAGCAGCTAGTTCCGGCTGCTGCTTTGATCCTGAGTGTCCAGTCCAGACCTGTTTCTTCCCACTTTCAAATCCTGAATGTCTGTTCCAGCCTTACCCTCCACTTTGGCTTTCCTGAGCCCGTTCAAGGTCAGCGGATGCACTAAGCTGTCCTAGCTGCCTGAGTGGAGTAACTCCCCACTTCCTCTCTGCACTGTGGAGCAGGGGATAGAGAGGGGGAGGGTGTTGGTTTGTGTCTAGGGACCACAGTCTTAAAAAGTGATAATGATCCAACTTAGCACTCACTAAATGCTTACTTTGGACCAGGCAGTGTGCTCAACAGTTGATGTACATTGTCTCATTTAATTCTTACCACCACCCCTGTAGGTAGGTATTTCCACATTACGGATGAGAAAACTAAAGCACAAAAAGATTGAGTAATTTGCCTGAGGTCACACAGCTAGTGAAAGGGAGTGCTGGCATCTGAACCCATCAGACTGCATAGCCCGAAGGCTAAGAATGGGACTCGGGTTCACGTCCAGCTCGTCACTGACCACGCCTCTCAGGACTGGAGCCAGAGACAGTAGTCCTGTCACAGCTGTTGTCCTGATAGCTCCAGAATCCCTTCTTGCCTCTCCATCTTCACTGCCATTGCTCCATCTTTGCTCATCCCCTAACTGATTTCAATGTCATGCTTTCCCCTTCAGGTTCATTCACCATATTGCCACAGATTGATCTTGCCAGTAAACTGATCATATCTTCTCACCCTGCTGCCTAGAACCCTCTGTGGCTCCCTAGCCCCTTCAGGACAGAAATCATACCGAGTTGTCTCAGATCTGGCCCCTGTGGTGCAGTTAAGTTGTCCATAGACATGGACCATCCCTGCTTTGTCCTCCTTTCCTTCCTCCCTCTGCCCCAGCCAGGCGCCCTCAGCATTCTGCCAAACCATCATGTGCTCCTGGGAATCCACCCAAAACCCTCCCACTTGAGTTTACAGCACTCACTGCTCATTTCTGTGTCCCAGAGGATGGGATTACCAAGCGTTGTTCTCAATGCCAGACCTGTAGCTTCTCTGGGCAGGGCCTGTATCTGGGCACACATTCGTTCTCACAGTGCGTAGACTTGCTGAGGTAAAGCTGTGTGCCTGGCATGGACAAGGTGCTGGGGGCAGCAGGGCCAGGGTCTGGATACCCATCCTCTCATGAAGTTTACATAATTTGAGGCAAGGCAGACATTAAACCAGTAGGTTACAAATAAGTCTTGAATTATATCTGGTAAATGCTACGAGGGAAAATGATGGATTTTAGTGTGTTTAATGGGAAAGGCCTGCCTTGGTCTTGGGTGTTGGGTTGTGAGGGCAAAGGCAGTGATGGCTTCTCTGAGAAAGTGACATTTAGGCTGAGACCTGAAGGATGTAAGTCAGCAAGGTCACAAGCAGAGGTTAGGACATTCTAGAACATGGACACAGCATGAGCAAAGTTCAGGGTCAAAAAGGAGCTTGGAGTTTGAGGACCAAAAGAAGGCCTGTATGTCCAGGGGCTTGGTGAGCAGGAAGGACAGGATTTAAGAACAGTGGGAAGCCATTGGTGCATTCTAAGCAGGGGAATGACCCGCTCTTGCTTACATTCAGAAAAGCTCACTTTGGCTACTGTGAGGAAAAGGACTGGGAAGAGGCCCAGTGCGAGTGTGGGGGCTGTCACTGCGGTGCAGGTGGTGGAGGCAGGGGGCTGTGAGATGTGGGCTGAGGGGAGGGAGGGCCCAAGGACTCCCGGGTGTGTGCAGGGAGCAGCCAGTGGCTAGTCACTCAATAAATGTGTGGACCCAGCCACCCTCCCTCATACCTTCAGACAGGGATCTGCCCCGGCAGGGCCCAGGAGGGCTTCAGAGCTTAACGTCAAATGCATAGTTCTTCAGACTTACCACTGCACTTTGCCCGAGTGTGAGAGAACAGCTTAAGAGTTTTACCATTTTTATCAGTGATTCCAAAGTTGACTTTTTAGCAATGATCATTAAAATGTCAGATGAGAATAAGCCATAGAAACAGATCTTATGCAAATGGCCACATTTAAAATGTGACTAGGGAGGAATGTTAGAAGTGACTGAGTTGTCTAAAGTTTGATACATTCCTTGAAGCATCAGTTGCTTTTAAAATCTATATCTGGTTCAAATTTGACCTATCATGTATAGCCTTATAAATAATCAAGTGAGCGCTCTGTGAGATGTGTTCATCCAGGGACACCTGCTCACGGCAAGCATATCCCATGAGGTTTTCAGTAATGACTTGTCTGTTTGTAGTTTTAACTACTTAAGTAAACAGAATATTAATTTTGATATGTGATTAGAACATTTTTTTTTGTAGGCTTTGCCACCAGCACCTGTTCAGAATCACACAAATAAGCATCAGGTATTCAGTGCATCTCTTCAAGACCATATTTATCCGAGCTGTTTTGGGAATACTCCAGAGTGGAATAGTTCTAAATTTATAAGTCTTTGGGGATCAGAAGTGATGAATGATAAGAACTGGAATCCTGGCACTTTCTTGCCAGATACAATTTCTGGTAAGGAACTTGTTAAAACTTTCTTCAAGTTTTCAATTGATCTGAGCTGAGTGGATTGCCATCTCCATTACTGTAGTCTCCCCGTAGAAGCCCTAGAGTAGTCGGGGCCCTCGTGCAGCCATCTCCAGGCTGCTGCTTCCCCTCACCTCCGTCTCTAGTGGGAGGCCCTTTGGGCTTTGTCGCACTGCTCCATCCTTCCACGTCTGCTGCCAGTCAGAGTCCCGCTGCATCAGCAGAGCAGAGCAAGGCTCCAGTGCTCCATGGCTGCTTGCCAACACAGCCAGCTGTGTGGGGTCCTGCTAACGCTAGGATCTCTCCTGCCTCAGCGCTGCTGAGTGTCTTCTCTCCAGTGTTCAGTGTTCAGCCTTGGGTTCTTAAGCAGTGGCGACAACCGGACCTCTACCCAGTGCACAGGGTGGTGTGATAGTGCCACGGTTGACTTGAATGCTGTGACTTGCGTTCCTTTTCTCTGTTTCTATATTGACCCTACCTGGGATCTGTCCCCTCTAACAAGCTCCTTCCTCTCAGCTGCCTCAGCTGCTAAGGCTCAACTGTTACTTCAGTAGCAGGGCAGGGCGCACCTGAAGAGGCGCTGGTACCTACGCCTCATCTCTGTCTTCATATGGTTAGAGCCTCTGGGGGCCCCACACCCAGCTCTGCATGTGCTCAGAACAGCAAGCTAGATTTGACATCTGGGCTGTGCTTGGAAAAGATTTCTAGCTGTGTGACCTTGGGCAAGTTGCTTAGCCTCTCTGAGCCTCAGTTTCTTCATCTTTAGGATGGGAATAATAGTACCAAGCTGAGAAAGTAATTTTAAGACATTAAATAGCTTTTGGGAAGCTCCTAGCACAGGCATTGGCACATGCTAGGTGCTCAATAAATTTCTTTTCTCAGATGGAAACAAGTTGACTGGCATCACCCCAGTGGGATCCTAAATCACTTCAATAGCAGCCCCAGTGTTAAGAGTTTAGTCAGCAAATGTCCTTTAGGTTTGAGCTAAATATTACTTCTTTTAGAAGCCTTAATTTTCCCATTCTTCTCTGAAGGGAGTGACGTATTAGGGCCAGCACTCTCAGAAACAAGACCGGAAGCCCTTCCACCTCCATCTAGCAGTGAGACACCTGCAGTTTCGGATAGTAAGGAGAAAAAAAACGCCGCAAAAAAGAAATGTTTGTACAATTTCCAAGATGCTTTTATGGAAGCAAACAAAGTTGTGATGGCCACCTCGTCAGCCACCTCCTCCGTGTCCTGCACAGCCACCACGGTGCAATCAAGCAACAGCCAGTTCAAAGTGTCGTCCAAGAGGCCTCCTTCCATAGGTAAGGCCCACCACCTCGTGGGGACCCTCAGGGTTGGCTCAGTGTGTTCGCTGCTTTTTCCTCAGCATTTTTATAACTGCCTTTTACTTGACCTGGCCGGAGACGTGAGTGTAACTGATGCCCGAAAGTACTCATGCACAAACAGCATGTCCTCTGGGCCTGATTAGAACTTTACTGTCCACTAGCTTCCTCTGGGGCTTTGCCACACAGCGTCGTGCCTTTCCTCTCTGCACCTGTTGTTCTGTGATAGGGAAAGGTCCTTGCTTTCTGAGCACGTGGAGGAGTTTGTTAGTCATCTAAAAGCAGAAGCCTCGTGGAGAGCCAGCTGACGGGGCTGCCACCCAGCCCACGGTGCAGCCCCTGCTGCCGCTCAGATCACTGGTGTGCAGGTGCTGTCGCCGTCACACTCTGATCCAAGCACGGTGAGAAGGGGGCCTGAGAGCAAGGAAGCCATGAGAGACCAGTGGCAAGTGTCAAAGGGACACGGGAGCTGGCTCAGAGGGGCCTCACTAGCCTAAGTTAGGGCAGGCTGAGAGTCAAAAAGAATAATGGAATGGGTTCTAGCACACTACTAAAGTCAAGAATCCTTCGAGATGCTTGGAGAAGGGAGTAGGGTGGAGAAGCTCTTTTTGACAGAAGCTGGCTGCTGCTTCATGTGCAAGAACAGTGAAAGTGGAAGTCCGCTCTGCAGCCAGCAGGGTGAAGGTGGATCCAGGTAAGCGTCGTCAGTGGTTGTTAAGAGTGTTGGATGTCAGTTTGGAGAATGTAGTATTCCTACTGTCCGGCTACACTAACTGCAGGCTACAGAGGGAGAATAAGGTGCCTTTTGCTGGAGAAATCTGGCAGACCACCCCCTGCACACCTGACCAGACGTAGCCTCACCACATGGAGCAAACTGATGTTAGGTGCTTCCTGTGCAATCGAATGGGAAGGATCCAACATAACCTTTGCAGGATTCATGCCCAAAATATTTCAGCTAAAGCTAACATGAAACTGTAAATCCAGATTGGTGGACAGCTGGCCTCGACTCAAAAAATGTCAGTGTTGTGAAAAGAAAAAAATAAAAGGCTGGGTTGGGGAAAAAGCTATAAAGGGCATGCGGGGGAAACTGGAAAATTGAACAGGGCTTGTACATTAGATGAAAACATCACGTCGATGTTCAGTGTCTCTGATGTGGTAATGAATTGTGGTTATACAGCAATGTGCATGTCCTCAGGAGCTCATGCTGAAGTATTTAGGGATGAGTGCAACTTACTTCCAAATGTTAAGCCAAAAAATTGTGTGTGTAAGAAATAAAGTAAATATGACAAAATATTAAATAACGATGAATACAGGTGAAAGGTATATAGATATTCTTCGTACTATTCCTTCAAATTTTCTATAGATTTGAACATTTTCAGACAAAAAGTTGGTAAAAAGTTTTAAGAGAAACATGAATGTCTGTCTTCATTGGTTGCTAGTGACTCTTTTGCATCTCTGAATGCAGGCGAGGTCTTTCACGGCATCACCAAGGAGGATCACAGACACGCAGTGCCAGCCGCCCCAAGGAACAGCCCCACAGGCTTGACGCCGCTTCCCGCTCTCGCCCCTGCTGCCCTCTCGCCAGCCTCTGCACCTCACCTTGCAAATCTTGCAGCCCCATCCTTCCCCAAAACTGCGACCACATCTCCCGGGTTTGTGGATACGCGCAAGAGCTTCTGTCCTGCTCCTGTGGCCCCCCCGCCCCCAACCACAGATGGCTCCATTAGCGCGCCTCCTAGCGTCTGCAGGTGAGCCCAGGTCCTGGTGGTTGAAGGCTAGGAGCACTTTGGAAATGGGGTGCCATGCCGTCCTAACACTATAGAAACAGCTATAGAAACTCTGTTCCCTGATACTGTGCAGCTGAAGAATCCAGTGAAATGCTGTGGGAAGGGATGTGCCCAGCAGGGGCCATGGGCGAGGGGAGGGCTCCAGTCTCAGCCTCTAGGTGTGCAGAGCCAGGGCCGCTGTGGATCAGTGCGCAGACCACCACCTAACCACTGGCAGCATTGGGGGTGGGCCTTGGGGTTTTTTTAAGTTGTATTTGTTATACATCGAGTGAAGAACGATACAACAAATACTCAACAGTTTTTTTTTTAAGACAATTTTTAAATTACCTTTGAACTTACCTTCTTGAAGCCATCCCCACCCCGCACTCCCCAGGACGAAGTAGTGGAGGGAGGGACAGTGGAGAGACTGTGTGTCTGAAGAGTCCCCCTAGGTATGAGCGCCTGCCCACATGCCTGCCTGCGCCACCTTGCCCCATCGCCGTACCACCTTCCTGACTGGGACTCCCTGTGTCCGTGTGGGCCATGCGCCCTCTGCACCTCGCTGTCGTCTGTGATGGGGCAGGGCAGCATTTGGTCGGGAGGAATAGAACTTTGTCTACCAGGCGTCATGCCCATGCCCCTCGAGGGGTGGGCTCCTTGCTAACAGGCCTGTGTGCGGTTTTGCAGTGACCCCGACTGTGAGGGGCACCGCTGTGAGAATGGCGTCTATGACCCGCAGCAGGATGACGGGGACGAGAGTGCAGATGAGGACAGCTGCTCTGAGCACAGCTCCAGCACCTCCACCTCCACCAACCAGAAGGAGGGCAAGTACTGTGACTGCTGCTACTGTGAGTTCTTCGGGCATGGCGGGGTAAGTGCCCGCAGACCTCTCCTCCCAGGGGAGGTCTCCTCGTGGGGGGGCTAGGTGGCGGAGAGTGCAGTAAGTGCATAAAGTTAGTGGTGGATGTGTGTAAATTGCATGTTTAAATTAGAATTGTAAAATATGCAAGCTCCTTTACAAGAATAATATACTAGGTTGACTTCAGGGTATGGTTATATTGTACATAAAGCTTTAGTTGCCACACAGTTACAATCAAGATATGGTCTGAAATGGGGATTCCACTTCTAGGTTGTACTTATCCTAAAGAAATAATGAAAAATATTTGCCCAAATAGTTAGCTATATAAGGATTTCATCACTGCATTTTTGCATTTATTTGTGATTTTGTTGAGTCCACCCAGCGTGCAGCCATGCGGTGGGATGCTGCTTGATATGTATATAGTTGGATTCCTCGTGTTTGAATACAAAGGATATTGATACACATAGATACTTATACATCTTTCCAGAGCAATCATTTTATCTGTCAAAGCAAGTGTCAGCTGTGGGGCCTGGGGGTGGGCGGGAGGACAGGCTGGGGGTTATTCTTTTAGTTCTGGCTGCGTTTCCTAAACGTGTGCACGTGTTTTTGGTCGTCACCAAGAAATTTTGGCAGTGGGATTGAGGGCAGTTTTTTTTCTTTTCAGCACTGAAAGGGAAACCTACAAATGGATGAAAAGATACTACAAACATGACATGAAAAGATAATCACACTGTATCACATAAAAAGTAGATTAATCAGTATGTGTAATTGCTTCTTTTTCACTTTAAAAATATTCATTTGTGGGGGCCAGCCCAGTGGTGTAGTGGTAAAGTTCGTGCACTCTGCTTCAGCGGCCTAGGGTTTGCGGTTTGGATCCCAGGTGCGGACCTACATACCTCTCGTCAAGCCGTGCTGTGGCAGCATCCCACATACAAAATAGAGGAAGATTGGCACAGATGTTAGCTTAGGGCCTCTCTTCCTCAAGCAAAAAGAGGAAGATGGGCAACAGATGTTAGCTCAGGGCCAGTCTTCCTCACCAAAAAAAAATATGTATATATATTCATTTGTGTACGTAGTTATACGTACCTTACCAGATTTTTCATGACAGGTCGTTGACAAGTCAGTGCCAAAATACTACCTTTGGGTGACTTAGTGATAGGTTTTTCTTTTTCCTGTCATTTGTTTATCTTACTTCCTTGTTTTTCACGATGAAGATGTATTACTTGAGTAATAAGAGAAAATTCATTTTTAGAGATATGGCCTGAGGTTTGTTATATTCAAAATCAGTAAAACTTGAAGCTTAATTTAGTTATGTTCTCATTTAATTGTCTTAGCCTCCAGCTGCACCAACAAGTAGAAATTATGCAGAAATGAGGGAAAAGCTTCGTTTACGGCTGACCAAGAGGAAAGAAGAGCAACCTAAAAAAATGGATCAGCTCTCAGAACGGGAGAGTGTAGTTGACCATCGAAGGGTAGAAGATTTGCTGCAGTTCATAAACAGCTCCGAGACCAAACCAGTGAGCAGTACTCGAGCAGCCAAGCGAGCAAGACATAAGCAGAGAAAGGTACACAGTGCGTGTGCAGTGGTGCACGGATGAGGGTGGTCTCCAGGAGTGCTCTTGAGCGCGGAGGACCTCCAGGCTGCGTGACTTGCTCACGGTGTTGCTTCAGGAGCCTCTGGCTGTCTCACGGCCTGAACTGGAAGCGGGTTAAAGCCTGATGTATTTTCAGGACACGGCTTCTCCTTTTGTGTTATGAGTTTGTTAATGGGTCTAAAACAAGCTTCAAGTTCTTGTACTGGCCAGGGTGGGAGCAGCAAGCAGACCTTCCACCTCTATCTGTGAAAGAACCTTCTTTCCTAGGAAAGGAGAGGGAGGAGCCCTTGGTTGTCAAGGAAGTAGAAGGAGGGGGAACAGTGTGGGCTTTTGGAGACTCTGGGTATAGAAGTGACTTTGATACAAATCTGGGACAGGGCCCTTGGCACAGCGGTGATCTCTGAACACAGGTCTGAGCAGGCTGGCCCCCACTCCACCTCTACCCACCTGGCAGAGGAGAGTCAGGCCGTGCCGTTCCAGAAGAGGGCCAGCATGCGGCATTGATGTCGAGGGTGGAAGCGTAACATGACCAGCCATTGTGGATAGCCCTGGGCAGTTCCCATCTCACTGTGGGGCATGGGGTGTCACAAAAGGAGATATCTACCGGGGCTAGACAGGTTGGCCCAGAGGTGGGCTGTGACTGGACTTGACCTGTGGTCTAGCGAGTGAACATAGCATTCAGAGATTGTATGCTAGTAAATGAGAAATTGTGTTCTTTACTTCATGTTAACGTTGAAAGTGATGGGAATAGCATCGACTCTATGATTTGCCCTTCCCCACTCTCTAAATTCTCTTGGAGGATTTTTCACAGAGCCCCTGTACTGGAACAGTTCCAGAGATCTTTCTGATTTCAGCCACCTAAAGATGTCAGGCTCCAAGAGCTAATCCTCAGCAGGCAAATCTGGGCTGTGCATAGAGGGAACTTGTAAAGGTTGCAAGGGTCTGACGGGTGGCTTTACAAAGAGGTGAGGTCCCTGTGAAGTCAGGCAGAGACGTGAGGTGGAGGACATTTCCACAGTGGACCAGAGGTTGGGCCACATGTCCTGCAGTGTTGCTTCCAACTTAGCTATTTGTAATTCTAAGATAGTTGTGATTATTCTACTAAGTGGATTAACCATCAAGTGCCCTGCTTATACCTCACAATCCTAAAATAGGTCTGGACTGACTATCAAGTCTAATAAGGGGACTTTGGGGAAAAAGCCCGTTCGGCACCCCCAGAAGATCTGGGGTCGCCAAGCTCCACTGGAGTGGGGAGAATAGGGTATGTTCTCCATCTAGGAGTGTTACAGCATCAAGGGTCCCAGGTGGTCCACTCCAGACTCCTGTCCTCTGTCCTTGTGAAATCCGGGTTGGAAAGCACCCCTGAAAAGCACTGAACGGGTCCAGAGGCTTCCAGTGAATCCCAGTGGGAAGTTGGGATTCCCAGTTGGGAAGGGCCTTGGTTGTTGAAATGAAGGCAGTACGACATATACCAGGTTTTGAGTTCACTGTAGATTCTGTCCTGTGGCAGGACCACCCCTCAGATCTGCGCTCTGGGGTGCATTCTGCTCACTTAACGCTAGGATGCCTGCCTGAAGTAGCCACCTTGGGGACCACTCCAGGTGCTGCCTTCTGGGTGCTGCCTCCAGAGAAGGCTTCTCGTTTCACAGATGGAACAAGGATTTTAAATAATTTGTACTTGAATTGTCAAATTAAATTTTTTTAAAAACCTGTCATTAAATTTTTAACATAATTTAAGTTTTTCAAAAAGACAAGCAAGTTGTCTCTTAAAAATATTGCTTGCTGAAATATTGTGAAAAATAATTTAAACTTGGAAAGACCTTTAAATTTTCCCATGCAAAATGTTTTTGCCCACGTTTCCTTATAAGCACTAGCCTTACTGGAGTTCAATGATAGAAGAAGCCATGCTTCTTACTCTTAATAGCATTCATTTGTTTTCTAAACAGAAGGAATAGTTCCACGGCCGGCCCCGTGGCTTAGCGGTTAAGTGCGCGCGCTCCGCTGCTGGCAGCCCGGGCTTGGATCCCGGGCGCGCACCGATGCACTGCTTGTCAGGCCATGCTGTGGCAGCGTCTCATATAAAGTGGAGGAGGATGGGCACAGATGTTAGCCCACGGCCAGTCTTCCTCAGCAAAAAGAGGAGGATTGGCATGGATGTTAGCTCAGGACTGATCTTCCTCACAAAAAATAAAGAAAAAAAGAAGGAATAGTTCCATTTATGCTCCTGGAATATATGTCACTAATAAAATACATTCTTTGTTTGGGATGTAAATTCTGCTGTCCCATCTACCACATGGGACAGCAGAAATAACCATTGTCTATTTGCCATGTAATGTTGAATATTTTAGAAAGTCAATTTCTCAATCACACTAGTGAAAATATATTGGGAATTTTGTTTATCTGCTAGAGTGGGAAAAAGGAATTTCAAGTTTTTCAATACACATTTCTTACATGTCCTGTTGGTAAACGTGAATGCATCAGCATCAGCCTTCACTTGGAAAAGTGTGCTTGCTCAGAGCTCTGGCAGCACATGTGCCGCTGTTTAACTACTGCACGATCAACCTGTGCTATCAATACACATCATCCAGCCGTCGCACACATAGAGGGGAGAGCTGGTGCAGGGCAGGAGCACAGCGGCTACTTTGACCTTGTTTGGTGTGCCTATCACTAGGTCAAAGGCTATAAGGAATTTTTTTCTTAACTGCTCCCCACACCCCACAATAAAGGAAGCATATACCTGCTTGGTAGATAGATTAAATCTAATAATTCTGTAGAGTAGAATAATTTAGGGTGGTTATGTTTTAAGCTTTTGGCCTATTATAGCCCCTGTCAGAGTTTATGTTCTTCTTATGATTCGTTTTTTCAATTATCTTATTTTTCTGTATGTCTTAATTTTTAGAACACTTACTGTAGTCTTAAATCGCCTTTTCTTTTCACATCGGCAGCTGGAGGAGAAAGCTCGCCTTGAAGCAGAGGCCAGGGCCCGAGAGCATCTGCACCTCCGTGAGGAGCAGAGGCGGCGGGAAGAGGAGGAGGAAGAGGAGGAGCGACTTAATGAGGAGTTTCAGCGGCTTCAGGAGCTTCAGAAGCTAAGAGCTGTAAAAAAGAAGAAGAAGGAGAGGCCAAGTAAAGACTGTCCCAAGTTGGACATGCTTGCTAGAAATTTCCAGGCATCAACAGAGTCTGTACCTAACTCTGAAAACATCCACAATGGCTCACTAGAGCAAACTGAAGAACCAGAAACCTCATCTTGCTCCCCTTCCAGACATGTGGACCACACAGAGCCCAGGCTGGGGCCGGGGGCTGATGGGGATGCTGCTGACCCCATGGACACCAGAGACTCCAAGCTCCTCCTCCCAAAGGAGGTCAGTGGGAAGCAGCAGGAGCCGCTGTCTTTTCTCCTTGACATAATGCATCACCACAAAGAGGGGAATGGCAAACAGAAGCTAAAGCATACCAATAAGGCCAGCAGTGAGCTGGTGAGAAAGCCCATGGAGCCCCCCAGAGCCTCAGAGGGCCAGCCCAGACCCCGGCCCCAGACTGAGTCAAAGGCTAAAGTGCTTGACTTCACTTCCTTGGCAGAGCAGAAAAGAGAGGAGAGAAAAGTCAACAGTAATAACAATAACAAAAAGCAACTGAACCACGTCAAGGAAGAAAAGTCGAACCCAGTCCCCACAGAGCCCGCCTCCCCCAGCGAGCATCTGCAGAACAGCAAGCTGGTGCTGGCAGACTCTCCTCAGCCCAAGGGCAAGAACAAGAAAAATAAGAAGAAGAAAGGAGACAGAGTCAACAATTCAATTGGTAAATACAGAGCAGAGGGAAAGTATGTCTAGCCGGTAGCCTTTCATTTTCTGTGTGTGATGTGTAATAAGATGAAAAAAGCACTTGGTGGATATCCTCTCACAGTCTGTCCCTCATGTAGGCCTTTCTTGTGGCCTTTCACCAACAATAAGGGACAAATACCATTGTTATATTTTGTCATTGTGAAATAATTTTAGACTTCCTAAAAAACTGCAAAAAGATTACAAAGAATTCCGATACACTCCGATTCCCCCAAATCAAGATGTTATCACATTTGCATTATCATTCTGTCTCTCCCTTCATTATTTTTCTGAATCAAGTGAGAGTAGTTTCAGACATGACGCCTCTTTACCCTTAAATACTTCAGTGTGTATTTCCTCAAAACAAGGACACTCTGTTACAAAACCACAGTACAATTATCAAAATCAAGAAATTAACAGTGATACAGTACCATTATCTAGTTATAGACCTTATTCATATTTCTCCAGTTGTCCCTTTAATACCCTTTATAGAAAAAAAAAGTTACTGTTATTTCTCCTGACCTAGGATCCAGTCCAGGATCATGTGTCATATCTCTTTTAATTTCCTCTAATGGATCAATTCCTCAATTTTTCAAGAGCTTGACATTTCTAAAGAGTACAGCCCATTTATTTCTCAGGATAATTTGTTTTGTGTGCCACGTCTTCACGATCAGATTCAGGTTGTGTATTTTTGGCAGCAGTGCCATGGAAGTGATGGGTCCTTGTTAGCGCATGCCACCAGCAGGGCATAATGTCCGGTGATGTTAACTCCAGTCCTTGGGTTGAGGGGTCTGTCTGGTGTCTCCACTGTCAAGTTAATGCTTCCTCCTTTGCTAATGCATCAGTGTCTTACGGGGAGATGAATCTCTGTTTTTATCAAACATTCACCCACTAGTTGTAGCATCCATTGACTATTCTTGACCAAAATGGTTATTATGTTGTTTGTCAAATGGTGATTTTTCTATTATTCCTTCTACATTTCTTATTTGGCATTCTAGCGTAGGAAGAGCTTTCCTTCTCTCCCAAGTATTTTTTTCATTCACTTAGTTATTTATATCAGGGTGGATTCATGGATTCTTACTTTATACTGTAGATTATAATCTTTACTAACACTATTTTGATGCTCTGACTGTCCCAGATTCATTCAGTGGGGACCCCCTCAGAATGACCCCTCGGCCCCATCATTCTTTGAGCACTTCCATACTTCTGGCATAGTTTGATATTCCAGGCTTATCTTGTACTTTTCCTGTCCCAGCCGTGAATCGGCCATTTCTCCAAGGAGCCCTGGTTCTTTTTCATGGAGAGTGGCATTCAGAAACCCAGATCTGGGTGCTGCTGGTGTGTCATTGCTTCTAGGCGCTCTCAGTCGGCAGAGCTACGAGGTGGGGGTGTGTGTATCTATTCCTGTATCTGATTTCTATAGTGAAAACCACGAGTTCACATTGATAGCGCCAATCCCACTCGGTGCCCCACGCTCCTACTTGCCCCATCCGCATGTGTAACAGCCCCTTGTCCGACTCCCAGAACTCACAGTAGGCCAACTGACTTGTTCAGTCCTAGAATGCACGTGAAGTGGTTCCAGAATTGCTTATCCTCACCACTGTGAAAACAAACAATGAACTTGCTCTTGGTGTTTGTTCGCAGTTCTTTTGTCTTTAGCCTGAGAGTTTGTAGTGTTTAAAGGTAACTTGGATTCGTGCTTTTCCCCATGAGCACAGTTATGGTATAGTACAGTTTAGTACAGTTATGGCTCGGCATCTGGAACACAGCAAGTTCCTTGGGTTTTTGGTTGTGTTCCATTTTGTTTTGTTTCCCCTCCGCCATTCTGATTTTTTCCATCTCTTTCCCAGCCACTCCCTGTAGGTAACTACTCAGTTTATTTGCTTTTCTTTTTTACACAAAAGGTAGCATGCTAGAGAGATTCTTTGGCCCTTTGCTTTTTTTCTCCACTTAATATATTCTGGAAGGTACTCCATGTCAGTTCATAGAGCTTGTCTTCATTGTTTTTACAGCTGCATAGTACTCCATTCAAAATGTAACTCATTCCCTCATTCTCCTGAGCACGAGCATTTAGGTTGTTCCCAGTGTTTGTAATTACAAACAGTGCTGCAGTTAACACTCTGGTGCATGCGTATTTTCACGTTATTTGGAGGTGTTCCTTCAGAGTAATTTCCCAGAAGATGGAGCACTGGGTCAGAAGGTAAGTGCAGACAGTTTTGTTAGACATTCTCCAACTCTCCACCTGCGTGTCTGAGCACCTGTCTTCCAACAGCATCGCCAACAGAACATGTTGTCAGGCTCTGTCACTTGAGCCAATCTATTAGGCAGAGTCGTTTCTCAGTCTAGTTTTCATTTGCATTTTTCTCTAATTAAAATGGGCTCATATTTTTAAGGGCTATTTGTATATCTTTTTTGTGAATTTTCTATTCATATCTTTTTCTCATATTTTTTAATTGGGTTTTGGTCTTTTTCCTTCCATTCTTAAGAGTCTTTTATATATTAGGACTATTAGCCTTTTAACTGTTATGTGCTCGTATATATTCTCCGAGTTCATAAGTTGTCCTTTGACTGTGTTTATGATGCTTTTTAGCTGGGCATTAGTTTTCTTTTTTCCTTTTATGTAGTCAGTTCATCGATCTTTTATTGCCCCTGGATTTTACATAATTGTTGGAAAGCTTTATCCTAACATTAAGGTTAAAGAGGACCCTGCTCATGTTTTCTTCTAGTATTTGTGTGGTTTCACTTTTTTTATTTAGCTCCCTGATACATTTGGAGTTTATTTTTGTGTATTGTGTGAGGCATGGATCCAATTTTATCTTTCTCCAAACAGTTGTCCCAGCACCAGATATTAAAAAGTTCATCTTGCCCCCATGATTTGGGATACCACCGTTGTGCTACACTAAACTTGCATGTGTACTTGGGTCTGTTTTGGAATTTCTAGTCTTTCCCTCTTTGTTTATTCTTGTGCTTTTGTTGCATTGAGTTGGTGGTCTTTTTGAGGCTCTGTGTGTTGTAATGACTTGTAGCGCCTTTCTCTCCTCGTAGTTTTTCCTTTTCAGTGTTTTCCTGGCTATTCTTCTCTAGGAACTTTAGTATCAACATGGCTGCTCCATAAAAAAAGGTTGTTGGTATCTTTATTGAGATTGCACTAAATTTATAAATTAATTTAGGGAGAATTGATGTCTTTATGATGTTAATCATCCTTCCCAAGAGCAAGGAGTGTTTTTCCATTTGTTCAAGTCTACTTTTATGTCTTTTAGGAATGTTTTACTCTTTCATAGGTTTTTCATGTTTCTTATTGAGCTTATTCCTAAGTATTGAATCTTCCTTGTTTTTAATTTTAATGGGGTATTCTCTGCCATTGTATCTTCTAACTCTGTGCTGTCCAATACAATAGCCACTAGTCACATGTCACTATTGAGCTCTTGAAGTGTGGCTCATCCAAATTGAGGGATGTTGTAACTATAAAATATACACTGGAGTTTGAAAACCTAGTATGAAAAAAAGAATGTATAAAATGTCTCAATTTTTTAAAAGATTACATGTTGAAAATGATAATCTTTTGGATATATTTAATTAAATATATATTACTAAATTAATTTCACCTTTTTAATTTTTTTAATGTGGCTACTAGAAAATCTTAAATATGGCTCACATTGTATTTCTGTTGGATAGTGCTGCTCTAACTGGTTATTTGTGTATGTGAAAGCATTGATTTCCATATATTCACTTTATATCTTCTACCTTACTGAATTATTTTATTGTTTGAGACTTATTTTTGATTCTGTAGGGTTTTCCAGGTATTCTATCATATATCTGCAAATAAAGAAAGCTTTACTTTTGCTTTTCCAATTCTTATGCCTCTAATTGTTTTCTCCTGTTTAATTGCACCATTCTTGATCTTAACTGAGATATCTGGTGTTCCCATATTGAGTAAGATTCTGGCTTTAGGATAAGGTTTATATATTTTATCATGGTAAGAAAATATGCAGTGATTCCCCCTTTTATTGAGTGTTTTTATCAGGAATGGGTGTTGAATTTTGTCAAAGGTTTTCTGTCATCTATGAAGATAAACATTTTTCTTCTTAGACCATATTATATATGGATTTCCTAGTGTTGAACCAACCTGAGATTCCTGGAATAAAGCCCCCTTACTTGTAGTGTATCATATTCTTTGGTTTGGGTTCTGTTTGTTATTGTTTTATTTAGTATTTTCACATCAATATTCTTGAGAGAGATGGTCTGTAACTTCCTTTTTTTTTTTTTTTTTTTTTTTTTTTTTTTTTTGCTGCTGTCTATATTAGCTTTGGGTATCGATATTATACTTCATAAAGAAGTATGAAGAATTAGGAAGATTTTTTTTGTTTTTCATTTTCAATGTTCTAGAACAATTCATCCTGCATTGGGACTATCTAGACTTTAAAGGTTTAATAGAAATCTCCTGTGCAGCCCTCTAGGCCACATGCTTTTTTGTGGGATAGTTCCTTGATAACTTTCTCTTTCCTCTATGGAAACTGGTTGATTTAGTATTTCTGTCTCTAATGAAGTTAATTTTGGTAAACTGTATTGCCGTAGTAAGTTATCCTTTCAGCTAGATTTTCCAACTTGTTTACGTAGATGTCTGTAAAGTACATAATTTTTTAAAAATTTCTTTTCACTGGTTGTTTTCCTCTTATCAGTTCTTATTTTGTATATTGTGTGCTTTTTCCCTATTGTATTTGATTCAGTTAGTTAGCAGTTTGTCTGTTTTGTTAATATTTGCAAAAACCAGGCTCTTGACTATTAGGTTTACTGTTGTTCTTTCCTCTACCTCATTAATTTCTGCTTTTATCTTTATTTCCTTCTCATCCTTTCTTTTGTTTTTACTTTGTTGCTCATTTTCTAACTTTATGGTTCTAGAATTTGGTTCATTTGTTTTCATTCCTCCATTTTTATTGATCAAAGTGTTTAGCGCTTTAAAATGTCCTCTGACCTTTGCTTTAAATGTATCCCATAGCATCTGATAATGTTGCCATTTGGTTTTCCCCTTCTACCCAATAGTTTAATATGTGGCTTTTAAAAGGTTTCCAGATGGGAAAGCCTTTTTTATGTTAATCATTTTTAGGTTTTTTACGTTGTGATCAGAGTTTGTTTGTTTTTCCTGAGGAAGATTCTACCTGAGCTAACATCTATTACTAATCTTCCTCTTTTTTGGCTTGAGAAAGATTTGCCCTGAGCTAATATCCATGCCAGTCTTCCTCTGTTTTGTATGTGGGTCACCACCACAGCATGGCTGCCGACGAGTGGTGTAGGACCATGCCTGGAAACCGAACCCAGGCCGCCAAAGTGGAGCGTGTCAAACTTAACTGCTAGGCCACAGGGCTGGCCCCTGTGATCAGAGTATTGTTTGTAGTATTTCTGCTTCACGAAACTTACTGATATTTTATTTTCTTTGTGACCAGCTTTTGTGACTGCTCCGTGTGCATTTGAGATAAAAGTGTTTTCTGTGTTCTCATGGTGTAAACTTTTATATATGTCCATGATATATTGATGAATTATATTTAGCTTTAGGTCTTCTGTATGCTTACTTGTTTTTGGTCCCCTTGACTATCCTCTATTATTTATTATTAATGAGTTTCTAGCTGTGTTTTCTTGCATCCCCTATATTTTTGCTAAATTTATAAAGTTGGTTTCTGTGTTATTTGGTGCACATTCCTAACTGTAATATCTTCTTAGTGTGTGGCTTTTAGTGTTAAAAATGTCCTTTTTGTTGTGTTTTGTGCTTTTGGCTTGAATTCTACCCCATCTAAGATGGTGGTTGCTGCTCCTTCTCTCTCTCTGTTTTTCTTGTGCCTGGTGGGGCCCCTTTGTCCTCATCCCTTCGTTTCTAGCCTTTCTGAGTCACTAGGTTGTAGATCATTCTCTTGTAAACAGCATAGACCTGAGTCTTGCTTTGTGAGCCACATTGAAAATCTTCTCCATGGGTAAGTTAAGCCCATTTGCATTTATTGATATAACTATATGGTTGGTCTCAACAGTGACCTGACATCATTTTATAATTACTGTTTGTATTTCATATTTGCTGTTTCTTTTTCTATGTAATGTGTCTTCTTTGCTCTTTTATTTCTTTCTTTTCTTTTCTTTTCTTTTTTTTTTTGGTGAGGAAGATCAGCCCTGAGCTAACATCCATGCCAATCCTCCTCTTTTTGCTGAGGAAGACCGGCCCTGAGCTAACATCTATTGCCGATCCTCCTCCTTGTTTTCCCTTTTTCTCCCCAAAGCCCCAGTAGATAGCTGTGTGTCATAGTTGCACATCCTTCTAGTTGCTGTATGTGGGATGCGGCCTCAGCATGGCTGGACAAGCAGTGCATCGGTGCAAGCCCGGGATCCAAACCCAGGCCACCAGTAGCGGAGCGTGCGCACTTAACCGCTAAGCCACGGGGCTGGCCCCTGCTCTTTTATTTCTAAAAATCTTTGATATTTGGGAAAATTTGTGTTTTGTCCTAGTGCATCCCTCTAACATGTACCTTTCATGCCCCACCCCTGGTGTCCCTGCTCACCCTTTCACAACCTGCTTTAAGTGAGGGCCTCTGACACCCACTTACTGCCTGGACAACAGTCAGTGAGCTAATTTCATTCTTTCTACTTTCCACCTTGATGTCCCTTCTCCTCCCATTTTTCGGGTGCATTATTTCTGCTTTGTCAGAATGTAGGTATACAATTAAATATGTTAAATACTCATGTGGGTCCTCCTGCTGAGGTGTTCCCAGACATCTTCTGGTTGGGTGAAGTGCACCTCTGGTGCATGTCCTCAAGTAGGTGCCGGACACAATTCTCTGAGTTCTGGCAAAGCAAACCGTTTTTATGGTCTTAACAATGAACAGACAGCCTGGCTAGGTATGAAATTCTTGGGTCACTCTTTCTTTCCACTCTGGTTAATATAGTTTTGTTGTTGTGAAAAATGTCTTCCTGGTACTGAATCGTAGTTATAGTTCTGTCTCATTTTTTTCTTATACCAAGATTTTCAATACTATTAGTTCTAATCAAAAAAAAAGAATATTAGAAATTGCTTTAGTGTGACAGCATTTCCAGCAGACATGCCTGCTCTGTGTTTGCTTTTGTGATTGAAGCTATTCCTCTTCTAGAACTATTTATAAAATGACTGTTTGAGATCGTGCTTTCTTAGACTTCACTTTCTTTACATCTGTGAACACTCCTGCTTCACTTCACCCTTACTCTTGCGTCGGTGTTTCCTTGATCAGGTCCTCAGCGAGTTGGCCTCCAGTCAGTGTCTCTGAGTAGACATCTCAGTGGCTGGGAAGGAGTAGATTGGGCTGTGGAAGCAAGGTGGTTGCTATCAGATATGTTGTGAGCATGACTCCATGCAGACTGGATTGGACGAGGTGGAAGCTAGGACCAAGGAGCATGGCTGGGAGGGCAGTGGAGCCCAGCACTGAAGCAGTAGCAGTGGGTTGGAGGGCTGGGGGGATCCCCGATTATTCACGAAGAACTTGCCTCGCATGGTGGAAAGTATGACATGAGTGAGGAAGGGGGCCGAGAGGATCGTTTCTAGGTCATTGTCAGGAAAGGAGCAGGCTTGCAGCAGATCATAAGGGGTACAGTTTTGCCATGTTAGGGGTCAGAGGCCTGAAGGGTGGGATATACGGAAGAGTTGGCTCTATGGACATAGAGCTCAGGAAGGAGGTCCAGCGTGGAGGTGGAGGTTTGGTGGTGTTGGTATCTAGGTATGGTTGAAACCACAGAGATACAGTGGAGGGAGGGAGGTGGGGTGCAGAGAGGAAGACCATGGGTGAGGAGCTCTGGGTGCCAACAGTGTGGGTGGGAGACCTGTCTGTGTGGGCGGGGCCATGGTCATGCACAGCCTTAGAAGCAAGCTCTTCAGTGATGTTTCTCTGTGCTAACAGATGTGAAGGCACTCTGCCTGGTGCTGTGAGTTGTCAAAAATGTTAGCTGCTATTATGCAGGTAAACCATGCTTTAATTATCCTACTGTGGAAATGCCCCAGTGATAGGAAGAAAGTGAGTCTTTTGTTTATTAAAGATTCCAAAAGTTGTCCCATGCTAAGGTCTGCAGGGAAGTGGAGACTATCCTTCAACAGAGAAACATCGTGGTCTCTGTGCTCCTCCTTCAATGGGGCTGCGTGCTGTGCATGCATTGCCAGCCTTCATGGCAGCCCAGGTGTGCACTGATGGAGCCTCTGGCACACAAAGCTCACACAGGGCCCGGGAACGCCCAGCATCCCAAGGTACCAGATACGGGCAGGCAGAGCAGAAAAGAGAAGGTGGAACCCTCAAACTTTTCGAAATTCTAGGAGATGGAAGAATCCTGAGTCAGAAGTCTCCCTGCTGTCCTGCTTGTTTTCAAAGAGGGATATTTAACTACAAAATGAAATATAGCCTTGCCTAGTGATTGGAAAGGCCTAAAAAGTTTTTGAAGTCTCTAGGATGTTGCGTATATAAACTGAATGCCTGAGAGAGCCATCTTCCTGTAGAGGTTGATGCCTGGGTCCTGGGTACAATCGTGTCCTCTTACTGCAAGGGTCACTTGCAAGGGACAGCACTTTCTTCCCCATGGGCCTGCCTTCTGGGAAGCTTCTGTTGACAGCTGTGCCCCCACTCCTTCTGTCCCTCCATTAGGGACCTAGGACAGCCTCTGGGCTCGAATGCAGCTTAGGTTTCCAGGAATCTTCTCAAGGGCTCTCCCATCAATGGAGACCCGTTGATTAATGACTGACCATGTGGGGAACCCAGGTGCCAGCAAGTGAATCTCTTCTAATGGGACCTGAAGTAGTAGTTGCTTTGCTCAGCAAATTTGTGAGTTCCATAGTTTCCAGGTGGGAGCTGGATAGTCACAAGCACATGAGAGAGAGCTGCTCTTTGACTATTTGTAAATTCTCACTTTAGAAAAAACTTTTAGTTTGTGAAGTTGCTGAAATTAAGTAAAACCAAATGATTTGTTCTGTTCTGGTAAGATAGCCTGCTGTTGTAATTTAACTTGCCTGTTTTCTTTTATTTTACAGATGATGTCTTTCTGCCTAAAGACATTGACCTAGACAGTGTGGATATGGATGAGACAGAGAGGGAAGTGGAATATTTCAAAAGGTAAAGTTAGTACTGAATGTCTGAAATAATGATGGTTTTGTGGTTACCATACATGATCTTCCCATAGCTCTACCAGTTGTCTTGGACACAAGTTCTGTCAGTCAGCCAGACAGCCTGGCTTAGTAGCATTCTAGCATGTGAAGGCCTGCCACACGTGTACCACCCACACCCCTAGCATACACACACTAACCTTCTCACCCTCTCACATTCATTCACTTCTGCCCTCCCCTACGTGTGTGAACACTAGTTTATGGAAGTGATTCTCAAAGTGGTCCTGGACCAGCAGCATCACCTGGGAACTCAGGCCCCTCCCCAGGGCCTGCTGAATCAGACTCTGGGTAGGGACCCAACATCTGTATTCTCACAAGCCTCCCAGGTGATCCTGATGCATGCTGATGTTGGAATACACTGATATGGTATGCTTTTAAGGAGAAAAGCAACATTTTAGATATTTGCTCAGTTTTTCTGATAAGCAGACTTTATAAGTACTATGTTCAATGATATTTTATCTAGTTTGTGAATTATGGCAAGTAAATTTTATTTTAAAACGCCTTCTTTCTTTAGAAGTACTTTAACCTCTTTGTTTCAAATAATACACACGCACGCACGCGAAAGAAGCAGTTAGTTTGAATGCAAAAGTCATTAACTCGTATCTGAAATATTGTAACCTTCTAAATGTTTCCGTGTGTGTGTGTGTGTGTATATATGTTTTATCTTAAGTGGAGTACAGCATTTGCTAAAGTTAAACATTCATTCCTAATAAAAACTCTTCACTAGGGCTAGAAGGGCATGTCCTTAACATAATAAAAGGTATCCATAAGCTACAGTGAATATCATACTTAACAGTGAGACATGAAAAGCTGTCCCTTGAGATTTAAAAAAAAAAAAAGATGAAGATGCCCATTATCATAACCTTTATTTGTAAAGGCATAAAAAGAAACAAAAGGGAGCCGGCCTCGTGGTGTAGTGGTTAAGCTCGGCAGCCCAGGTTCACGGATTCAAATCCCAGACGCAGACCTACACCACTCGTCAGCCGTGCTGTGGTGGTGACATGCATACAAAATAGAGGGAGATTGGCACAGATGTTAGCTCAGGGCTAATCTTCCTGAAGCAAAAAATGAGGAAGATTGGCAACAGATGCTAGCTCAGAGTAAATCTTCCTCACCAAAAAAAAAAAAAAAGAAAAAGAAATAGCCTCAAAATACAAAAAGCGAAATTGGGCTGCACAGAGAATCAAATAAATTCACCATCCTAGTAAGAGATCTCAGACTGTTTTCTCTGTGTGACTGATTGCCGGAGCAGCTAAAGCATCCTGAAAGATGTAGAAAATTGACAAAGCTTGGCTGCCAAGTTCAATCTAGTGAATACCAATGAAACTCTGCATCCAAGGAATAGAGAGTTTGCATTCTTGAGCTCACAGGGAACATTCACAGACATTGAATGAGTACTGGGCCACAGAAAGCAAGGCTCAAAAATTTCAAACAGGGAGTGACATCAGCATCATGGTGGAGTGAGTGGTTCCCTTTCTCTCCCCTCTGAATTACAACCAGACATCTATTGACCAACAGAGGATTCCCTATACAGCACAACAGGACACCTAAGAGATCCAAGCAGCTATACATCTGAAGGTAAGTGGACTGGACCCCTGGGGAACAGTGGAAATAGAAGAGCAACCCCACTGCTCCCCTGGTGGCAGCAATCCAGGTCACAGATCCTTATGCAGCAGCCCATGCAACTTGTGAGCAGAGGTGAGGGCAGCTGGCTCCACATGCATGCACGAACGCCTGCAGGATGGTGGCCCCGCCCTGCGATGGTCAGTGGAGCAGTGGCGGCAGCCTGACCCACACAACTGCAAGCAGACAGGGCAGGAGCACCCAGGTCCCGATGGTGGCTCTCCCAGCACCAACTCCACTGGCAACGGGGTCTGCATACAAATCCCCAGGCCCTCGCCAGCAACTGTGACATCTGTGGACCCAGCACCCCTGGCAGCAGTGCAGTCAGCACCCCCAGACAACTGGGGAATAGCAACACATGGGGTGCATGGGACAGCAACATCTGAGCCCACAGAGAGCCAGTGGAGGAGCATGAGACCCAAGCAGCCAGAACCATAGAAACCAAAGTCATACCCAAATAAGAAAAGGTCATTGCTATTACAGATGCATCAGCAGAGAATCAGTTCATCAAACACCATGAAGAACTACAGTAACACGGCAGAACAGAAGGAAAATGACAACTCTCCAGAAGCCAAACCTGATATCACAGAAGATTGCAATCTAACTGACAGAGAATTTAAAATAGCTGTCATAAACTCAACGAATTATAAGAAAACTCAGTTCAGTGAGCTCAGGAATAAAATTAATGAACAGAAGTAATACTTCACCAGAGATTGAAGCTCTAAAAGAAAAAAAAAAACAAATTCTAGATATTAAAAACACAATCAATAAGATAAAAAATAATGTAGAAAGCATTGAAAATAGAGTAGACCTTATGGAGGAGAGAATTAATGAACTCGAAGATAGAAATGATTCAGGTGGAGGAGAAGAGAGAACTGAGATTTTCTTTTGTTTTTAAAGATTTTATTTATTTATTGTTTTCCCCCCCAAAG